CCTGGCTCTGCCTCCCGAGTGCTGGGATTAAAGGCGTGCGCCACCACCGCCCGGCTGCCATGGTTGACTTATTTGGGTGCTGGGAGCCAAACACAAGACTGCATGTGTGTATTGAAAGCATCATGTTGACCACGCCACCCCCGCACTTCCATGTTTTTAGTTTTTTAAAAAAGAGGGTTCTGTCTATGTTGTCCTGGCTGGCCCCAAACAATGGGGGCCGAGTGGGTGGTCTTTTTGCCTCTGTCCCCCAAATAGCTGAGACAACCCTGCTTCCAGAAAAATTTTTTTTTACTATGTTTCTGAACTGTATGATCCAGGAAATGAATTATTCAAATGAATACATACCTACTTTAAGTCAGTAAAAGTAATGTATAAGATTGAGAAATTAATGTGCCCATAGAATTTCTGCAAAAAAGCTAAAAGACTAGAATTCTCAATAGTTCTTCCTGATTACAGTTTGCTGTTACTAAGTCAATTTTGCTTACAAATTGGTTTAAAAAGACACACCTTTAGCTCACAAATTCGCTAGGAGAGTTGCCTGACAATAGGCATCAACTTTTTTTTTTTTGTTTGTTTGTTTTGGCTAAAAGTATTTACAAATGCTTGGCATATTTGTTATTAGTAAGACAGGAGTATTTTCAAAACAACATTTATTGACTGTTACAGAATAATCCATGATGACCAGAGGACATTAAAATTTCAGATTTGCTGACAATCCAACAGAGGCCTTGGTGGTGTCCACAGTGTTCAGCAAGGTCCTAAACATTAACTTCCAAAATCCCAAGCCAGGATTGGGGGGGGGGGGGAGAAATCAAGGAAATGATGTTCCTTACCAAAACAACGACGGCATTATGATTATAGATTTTATTCTAGTGTTCTGATGAGGTTAAGTTGTATGAGGCCCAAACTGTGAAGCTGAATCCCGTTTGGGGTCGCACGAAACGACTAAATTTCTCCAGTATTCTGCTTGAAAAACACAGCTCGACTAACTGTCGGAGGAGAGAGACTTCGACGACTCCTCACAGTAAGGAACATGGCCAGCTCATTTCTAAATGGAAACTCCCAAGTGCCACAGCACATCAATCATCTGACATATAATCCGACTTCCACTGAGCTGGAATGTTCTTTAAAGGTCAGGTCTTTGGACGAAGAACGTCAGTTTAGTGGGTTATGCAGCAGCAATGCCTAAATCTGGAGCAGCGCTGGAGAAACAGCTTCTCTTCAAATACCAGAGAAGAAAGAACAGAGGATTTATAAGCTGAAAGTCTTTTGCTTAATCGCATTTCCTGATGATTCTGCCTGTATCTCATTAAAAGTAAGATAAGGAGTTTGGCGGTGGTGGCCCACGCCTTTAATCCCAGCACTTGGGAGGCAGAGGCAGGCGGATCTCTGTGAGTTCGAGGCCAGCCTGGTCTACAAAGCAAGTTCCAGAAAAGGCGCAAAGCTACACAGAGAAACCCTATCTCGAAAAAAAACAAAAAAACCGAAAAAAAAAAAGTAAGATAAGGAAATAAGGCTGCACATAGTATCACATTCGTCTACTTTCACAGGTGTGCTAGGGAGTCCAGAAACACTATCAGGCCTATATTTGAGAAAACTGGAGAAATGCTTCATTCCAGGTGGAGAAAAAAAAAATCTAGATTTTTGGCTTAAGAAATTGGAACCTTTCAGTAATTACTTTTCCAATAAAGGATCTTGCCATGCACTCCAGGCTGGCCTCCAGTTTATGGCGTTCCTGTTTCAGCGAGGATTAGACTTGAGCCACACCTGCTTTCTACATACAGAAAGGAGGCCAAGCCAGGCCTGGTAGTGATACATGATCATAATCCCAGTACTTGGGGGACAGTGGCAGAGAAAGGAAGATCACAAGTTCAAGACTGGCTCGGGTATGTAATGAGTTCCAGGCCAGCTCAGGCTGCATCTGACTCCACCTCCACAGAGTTAAAGCCGCCAGAAAGTGGGCCGGAGCGATAATTCCCCTTCTATCTGTCCACATTCTCTATATTTTGCCATCCCTTCCACTCCCAAATGCCTTCTAGCCACATTCCCGTGCCGGCGAAAGTGAAGCAACGAGGCATTCTTTTTCAGATAGGCAAATCTTTTTGTGAGGGTGGGACCAGAAACTGCGGCTTCCTAACAGTCCTAAACCTGCTAGACTGTAAGGATCTGATCCTAATCAGAATGGCTCAAAGCGAGGAACTAAGAATTTTGATGCTCCCGGCCAACTATCTGCCCAGCTGCGTGACCTTGGGCGCCTGGGTTAAGCTTTCCCAGGCAACAGCGATTCACGATCTTTAAAAATGATCTAATACCTGCTCTGAACACAATCGCACGGCTCCCACACTGCAGAAAGAGGGCTTTTTAAAGCTCTCTCCTAAGTAATTCTTAAACCGCAGAACGCTTCCGAGTGCAAACATCCGGTACAGTGCGAGGACACCTGGGCTTTGCAAGTCGCCTTACGGGAACCTGCGAGCTCCGCGCTGCTCCTCCGCCCACGCTCCGGGGCGCCCGGAAAACCGATTCTCTCGGGAAGGGAGTCTGGAACACTGGCAGCGACGCAAAACGGCAAGTTTCCGCGAGTGGGCCAAGCTGCTGGCGGCATTGAAAGACCCCCCAAAGGGACGGACACACACACAGACACACACTTCCCATCCGAGCAGCCCCGCCGACCCGCGCTAGGACCACCTCCAGTTAATAACGGGGACCCGGGGACTCCACTCCTGGCCCCAGACCCCCCATCCCCCCGACACACACCATGATGTCCCCACCGTCCCTCTTCCACGTGACACGGGCCGGAACCGTCACTTCCGGCGGCGCGGGCAGCGCGCCTGCGCGAGGCGCCCGGCTCTGCAAGAGGCTGGCACCGGCGCCGCACCCCCCTCCACTTGCCGCAAGAGGCGGGCGGCG